GTTATCGGGTTAAACTTTTCACGTATGTTTCCTTTTGCGTAAGCTACATCCTTGACGTCAGTGATCTATATACTTTTGGAGAGGAATTCAAATCTCTCACGATTATCTAGAAGAATAATCCTGCCATCTCTCAAAAGATCGGTCCGAGCCTTCGCTTCCTCTAGGAAAGAGCTTCGTTGTACTTTTGGGTCGCCTGGTGCTCCATCTATTCTCCTGCACATTACGTCAGTCCTAACTAAGATGTCATATCTGAATGCCGTTATCCATCCATGTCTTAACGCAAGATCTTCTACATAATCGAAGTGTTTTTCTAGACTGCAAATCAAGATGTTCATTAGCTATAACATTATTTGTTAGAATAGTTAAATATATTTACTCATTAGCAAATCTTATATGGAAGTAAGTCTGTTTTAAGTATTTCAACATCAAAGATTTCGCGCGGTTCCAATCCGCGTACGACATCCACCACTCGCTTTTCGGGATTAAACCTGTTGGTTTATCTTTCTTCTTTGAAGTGTTACTGCCTTCTACCATATGGTCTAACTCGATCCATCTGTCGTTAAAGATGGTGAGTTTAAAGTTTAAATCTAGCTTAGTTAGGTGATTGTTCCAATAAGTGCTGAATCCTCTTAATCCCGAAGTCGACACCTTTCCGCTATTCTTGTAAACTGTGTCTATGTTATCTTTGGATGCAGTTTTCATCTTGATTTTATCTGATTCTAAGGATTTCAGGAATTTTTCTATGATCTTCGTGTTCCCCATAGCCAATGCCATCTTTGCGATATCTAAGGAAACGCCTAATTAATCCATCATTAGGTTAGTTAATGTTGTCTCGCACCAATTAATGTGATTTATTGTTGGAGTAAGTGATTTAACAACAGTGTACGTGGAGTTTGAAGCAGGGGATGTTTACCACTCTTACATAGCTCTCATTCAATAATTGAAGAGCATTGGATGGTGCAGGGTATATTTTATAGCTCAGACTTAGCTCACATTCGACAATCAAAGAGCAGTGGATGTCAGCTCGCATTCTCTTATGAGAAGAGCAGTGGATATGTGCCAATGGGTGGTAGCTCTCATTCTCTTAGGAGAAGAGCAGTGGATATGTGCCACTCATCAATTCATCAATTATAGCTCGCATTCTATGTGTAGAAGAGCAGTGGAATAAAAAATAGCTCCCATTCTTTGATCAGAAGAGCATCGGTCGTAAGTCGTTACGTAATATATGGTGTGGTATTGATAAAGACGAATATAACGGAAGAAACGGATATCTTGTGGTAATGATAAAGATAGATAAGGATGAAACCGTTTGCCTCACTTTCTTTTTCATTTGTTACGTGCTCAATTGAAGAATCTGAATCGCTTTCTCTCTCTTCTCTGAATTCTAAATTTTCTTCTAGATCGTCGTTGAATTCAATATCTTCAATTTCTTCTAAGTTGATGTCATCAGTAGTCGTTTGTAAAAAATTTTTTTCTTCTTAATTCCTTGGTTCGTTTTACTGAGTCTAATCGCCTCTAAGGCATCTTCTCTATCAATTCTAGCTTGTTCTTCTTCTTCAGTTTCGATCTGAAAACTTCGTTCCTCTTCTGAAGGTGGTGGAGTAGGTTCTGGTGAGAATTCCGGAGCCAAGTTTTGTCTTCTCCTACTTGTCCTCATTGTTGGGTTCGAAAAAGTCTTTTGCCCGAGGAAAGCCCACGCTGAGGGAAGAAGAGAGCTGCAGGACGAGAGAGAGAAAAAGATGAGTGAATCAGAGCGAGAGATGAACACTCATCGAGAGGGGTAAACCTTTTACCCAACTTGTTCCAACCGTGCCTGAAAGTTTGTCCAGGGCAACACTGGAGCGTCGGTTGGCAGCTCACGTCATCCACTCAGAGGACGCGAGACTTAGACTCTTCCAGTCACGCGTGGGGCTTTCCAGTCTGTGACATGGACAGGATTTATTCCTAGTCCTGTCGTCACCAATCTACAAGAAATGGAACAAGAAGCACCATATCAAAATCAAAACTGATGGGAATTTGTAAACAAAATATATGGGAGAGAAATGGCAAAGGAGGAAAACTGTCTGGAGACTCCTTTAGAGTAGGGAGTGCAACTCTAATTAGGGGGAAGAACAAGAAACCTTAAAAAGAGATTATGGCAATTGGACATTGGGAATCTAAAGTGTAGAATTTGTATTTGAGGAAATATACAAAAGACAAAAAGAGGGAAACAAGAGAATGGTGGAGATTGCTAGATACACATAAAATTTATGTACAACCAGAATTCAATCCATTCACTCCTTGCCACGGTTGAGGTGGTGTGAATGATGAGGATGTGTCTCAAACGCCTCTCAGGCCTTACGTCGAGCACACTTTGTGGGAACTAGAACCCACCCGAGAGATGCCTCCCTTACACTTGGTGTCAAGGAGGCAGGTTACGGCGGGTGAGACGGCCCCGGCCACGGGGGGCTTGGTTTTCGTGAACCAAAGCCTTGGTGTGGCTGGGGTCCTCCCCCAGCCCACCCGCCCCCCTAACGCGCACACGCCTGGGTCGGATTCTGTGCCCGGAGAGACGCCCACAACTCAGGAGCTCGCCGCGGCGCCCTGAGCCCCCGGGCACAGACACCCAACCCGCCGTGTGAGTGACCTGCACTCTGGACGCTTCTGGAGCAAGGTTAAGGTTTTGGACGATTGTTTCCTCATTCTTCGAATTCAATTCAACTCATGCTTCTCGCCTGTACAATTCAAATCCAGTACTTGTCTTATTACCATTTCTCTCCGAATTCCTCAGTGTGATAAACCGTCACTCCACCTGATCCTCTTCGATCTGCTCGTCGTCTCTATGTTCTTCTCTCCAGGCCATGATTTATCCTCTATTGCTCCTAAGAATTCCACCGTGTCCCTCACATCCTCCGGTTTGTATGGCTTCAGGTACCTCAGGTACGTCAACGACGTCCATATTCCTTGTCTAGCGATTGAATCTGCGCTGCTCCCCAGGTTGAACCGAAGTGACGCTCCCCCCACTCTGAAGGAGTGGCCACTCCATGTCGCCACACTGGCCTTTCCCCAAATCTTTGTTACACCGTTTAAGAATCTTGTCTTTGATAATGGGCCTGCCGTCGTTGCGAACAGCAAACTGTCCGGGTCGCTGTTTAGTCGTTTCTCTAGGAGACGTCTTATTGCCTCCACTGGGTCCAGAACGTTCAGCTGTTGTTGTAAGTGAATTACTTGCACCTCACCCGGTGTAGAACTCTTTCAGTACACAGCTGAAAGCAGAGCCAAGAAGGGGAGGAATGAAGACACAAATCAACAAACACACACAATCAAAAGAGAAATAAGTCTTGAGATGGTGAATTGAAAGACTTCAATCAAAGAAAGAAATGCCCTTCTTAAACAGGGACTTTGATTATCAATGAATTAAATTTAAGACCTTCAAGTCTTTGGATTAATAAGAACCAGGCTGAAATAGGACAATAACTTCAAAAATAGCACAATCTAGGCGCACTCAGGCACCTTCCAAATGAGCAAATGAGCTTACAACTCAACAAGAAATTAATTAAAAGATGAATAAGGGTCTTATTATTATAAAATTCCAACTCTCATTAGTTGTTTACCTGAATGATAATAATAAAAGATAAAAGCTTATTCTAAAAATCTAGTAATTATTTTTGCTAACTAAAAGGCTCCCAAAGGGGAAGAAAAGAGACCCTTGACTATATCAAAATTGAAACACACACAAAAAAAGAAAGTAAGACAAAAACAACCCTCAAACTCGAAATCCACCTTCAAACAACTTTTTCACACACAATTCATTGAACAACCCCCAAATTAAAATTGATAAACATCTTCAACTCACCCGCATGTATCATTCACAAATTTTCAAGCACACATTTATCATCAAAACTGAGCTGTTTACCACAAAAACTGAAAAATCCGCCAATTTACCCTCAAAACCTGAAAAAAGATAAGAAATAGGGACAAAAGGTCTGCTTCCGCTCTACAACTTTGCTCAGCCAAGCTAAACTCTAACTCTATTGGTTGTACCCTTAAAATGAAATTCGATTTTATGTGAAAATACTCAAAATTGAATTTACCCAGTTTACCACCTGATATTACCACTGATGATGCTGTATATGGTTTATAATTGATTTTTCATGCTCAGATGCGCCCATATGATGCCTTCCACATGATTTACCCTCTGAAAAACTGATGTAGTACATTTGAAATAAAGTCTCATGATTGAAAATGGAGCCTTTTATGGAATTTTGAAAGCCATTTTCGAGTTTCAAAATCATCCTTTTCATTTGTGATTTTGTATTTGCCAATATTGGTGTTTGATAATCTGATGAATTTATAATTTCACACCGATCCCTACTTGCTTTTTCAGTTTACCACCCCAGTTTACCACCACCCCAGTTTACCACCATCTGTCTGAGTTGCTGGATTTTCGAAATTCAGCCTTATTTAAACCCATACCTCAAAACCATGATTCCTCTACACATAACTTGTTAAAACCATACACATCTGTAACCATGACTTTTTAAACCCATAAAATTCGAAATTTCAAGTTTAAGCCTGTACACCCTATGTAACCCATACAACATTCAACTACACATAACCTCTAAACCCATAAATTCGAAATTTGACTTCATTTTACACTACACCTCATCCATCAAACTACATAACCCATAAAAAGAAAAATAGAGAAATAAAAATATAACACTTCACATAATAAAACTTGACATATATGATCAAACTAAATAAGATAAAAAATAAAAAATAAAAATTGAAAATTGAAATTAAGTAAAGAAAGAAAGAAAATGAAAAAAAAGAAATGAACTAAATAAAGAACTAATTTAAAAACACATTATTGATGTAATGTTCTAAAAAATGTAGTTTCTCGTATTTTAAAATGAAAGTTAATAAAATAATGGGGTTACCCCAATTCTGATTTCCACAGCCTCCCCCAAAACCCAGCAATGTCCCCATCGCAGGAGACTTGTCTTTCAGGAAACACTTCGATGCCATACTTGTAAGTTGCAGTTGAAATTGCTTCTTAATATTCATGTCTTGTTTTTTATTTTCAACTTTGATCTAAAGGCCTAACAATTTATTTTCACGCGATCGATCTATTTAAATTCTAGTTGCTTAGCGATGTTATATTTATATATCCAGATGGACGATACCAAGTCAAGACTCCAGGAATTCCAGTCGACCTTCTCCTCCAACGATACCGAACGAATTCAAGCATTTCCCCACTACTATATAATCAAAAATTGTAAAGTTCTACTTCGATTATCATTGATTTATTACTCCATCTTTCTTTTTATTTGTTTTGAGTATTGACAATCTGATTTGTAGTTTGATCATATGTACTAATAACTTTCTTTATTTTGATCTTGACTTATTTGCTTGTTCTCAGTTATAATGGATGTAGACGGACTTCCCACCGCACCTCATAAAGACCGCGAAGCCGAGTTGAAGAAAATGGCTGCGAAGCGACAAGTCAAAAAGCGGACCAAAACGTTTTCTCGCCCTCCTAACCCAGATGTCTCGTCTCCTAACTTTAAGCGGAAGCCTTCGACACCCAAACATGATCACCACCAACTCGATTCTGAAGAAGATAACTTAATGACTCCTCCATATGCCAGATCCCCTCATCAGATCACTACTGTTCCTGTTGTTATTGTACCTTCAGTCACTCCAGCTCCAGCTCGAGCTCAAACTCCTCAATTAGTCAATTTAGGTCCACTTCAATCCCCACCAGCGGCCACTTCTCCTAGCCCTAAACGTAACCGACTCAACAGCTCGCTTCCAGACCCTTCAAAGCTCGTTATTGATCATAACCGATCAAAACACTACGCTAATGATCCCATCTTAGATGTTTCGCCTCCTATTGATTCCAATAGAACCAAGTCTAGCTCCAACAACAGTCCAAGTCACCCATCAACTTTACAATCTCCAATCGAAGTCGGTCCCAAATTCATCTTTAGTTCTCCCTTGTCAGTTGATGCATACAAGTCCTTACTCGGCCCAAAGGTGATTCTCAACAAGGAACCGGTTTACCCCTCCGATGAAATCAAATCTTGCATTTATTCCATGTACTCAGAAGTTTTCAAACACTTCAAAGGTCGTATTGCAATTAATGAAGAAGAAATCATCAATCGTGCTAAGGTTCTTAGGAAATTACACTTCATAGGTAGAAAAGGACTGGAAAAGCGAAGTTCTCCAGGTATAGTTCCTATTCTAGAGATGTAAGAGTTCTTTCTTTACTTTGATCTGTTCTGAATTTTCAATTCTTCAACCTTATCCATAAGTTTAATGTTAATGGTTGATACTGATGACCTATTCTACCATGTTGTTGATTGTAGGAACGACTCTGAAGCTTCGTCTACTGGATCTTCTTCAAAAGGAAAAGGTTGTGCTTAACCACCAACACCACCCCCTCTTTTCCTTATTTTTAAATTTTCAAAATTTCTAGTTCAACCTAGAACTATTAACTTACAACTGAAAATTATTTTAGGCTTAGAACTATCTTTGATCCTATTTAATTCCTTAATAGTTGACTTTTAATATTGATTTCTTCTTATTTTATACATGTACTTGATTTTAATCTTGAAATACAAAGATAAGCTATGTTGAATGTGCCTTAGTTTAACTTGCCCACTCCCCCAAAACCAATGGGTTTTGCCTGCACCTGCCCTAATGAATTCATGTGATGGATTATGAGAATTTGATGAGTTGAGTCAAATGAGAAATGAGTGTAACATAATGAACCGTGACTAAGCCTGTATAGTAATAAAAATCTTTTGCGCCAAGTGCAAACTTTGAATGTATGAACTTGAATTCACTAACTTATAAGTTATTTTTGTTTTCTTCAAACTTGATCTGAAGCAAAGTGTTTGTTATAGTTGTAAGATTATTCTTGTAATTATAGCATGATTATAAAAAATTTACCCCTTACGTAAAGATGAGTAAGGGTCCTTTTTCCACGTCTTCCAAACTTCCCTCCACTCCTCTCACATCTTTCAGTGAGGACCTTTCCCAAAACCAAAGTGAAACATAAGAAAAATAAGATAAAAAGAAACATAACCAATAAATTCTGAACTCGAAACCTGTAACCTTGTGTGAATAATTCTGCCCAAAAAAAATGAATAAGATGTACCCGCTGCCGTTGCATGTAATGTATCTGATGTATTGCGCCCTGATGTAATTGATTAATTTGTGAAATGATTCTGCCTTAAATATAAATGAAAGAAAAGATGAAAAACAAGAGAAAATGAAACTAAGAAAATAAGAAAGAGGTGAAGAACCCGCCACAGCTTATGTTTTGTTGTTCCCTCTTCACCATTGATTTAATACCCCTAAAATTAATTGATTTATAATTTTGACTTTTAATTTTAATTGTAAACTCCACGCCTAAAATAAAAAAAATGAAGTATAAGAAAAAAATTGAAACATAACCAAAGAAACATAACCAAAGACTCTATATGAATGAAATATAACCGTAACTGAAATTGTGAGAATTAATTGAAACCCG